TGTGGGCCTCATTTCTAAGCAGCCAGTATCCATTATTGAAGGTGCATTTGCCACCTAAATGTATACCGATGATGATCTATGTTTTATCAACCAATGTCAGTGTTCTTGGTGTGCACCTCAAGACATTCTGGAATCACACTCTATTCTTGACACCTTTACGTGTTCACAATCAACCAGCCAAATATACATGTCGTGTTTCATTTCAATCTCATTAAAATCAGATCTAAGTTCTCGCTGCCGCTACACAAAGATCTTAGGACATCCCGTTACGGGTCACGTCAGAACTACCTTCATCCGACCAACCAAAGGGTCGCTTATCATATCATGAAAGCGACAGTCGGAATGTCTTTTCTAATCATGCAATCTCGAAAACGTTAACACGGTGTATTCCGAACGACAGTTACAGCCCGTACGACTGATTCCGTCAAATTTTCGTCTATCTCTCGCTTCTGTGAGATAAACATTTGAACGGAGGAGGCGTTGCACAGTACGTGGGAAGCACTGCAATACAATCGCAACCATATATTAGACATTCCGGAATGTTCGTTTGTTCAGTTTTCAAAATTTTAATCGAGAACTGTGTCAACATATTGTTCAAGCGTAGTCCGAAATAGAAGTCGCCAGGTTGAAACGAGTGTCGTAAAGCTCGAAAAAGCTGCTTTCTGATTGGCTGATGTCGACTTCTTGTTAGTCGTTTCAGTGGTCGGTCAAAGTTCGCAAAAGGTCGTTCTGACGTGACCCGTAATGGAATGTCCTCAGATCTTTGTTTAGCGATAGCGAGAACTAAGATATGATTTTAATGAGATTATGTTTCATTTCTTAATTGTCTAGTTCCTATATTATTATGTACATATCTACTTGATATTAAGTATGTGATGGATATATTTGTTATAGTTAACTTTTCTTACAGCAAGCAATTTCTTTTCATCGTTTCACTACGTGTTTGTCTGTATGCATAGCAACTTGGAAAAAGCCTGGCAACAGATCCCTTATTTGGCGTGTTCACAGGCCGTTGTTGCATGGCAGGGATACAGTTGTGCGGCGTCAGGCACTAAACATTTGGGGTCACCACTGATTTTTAGTGATCCATTCATATACTTTTAACCACGTTTTAACGCCCCATTCAATCTGTTTCGGTAGAAAATCGAAGAATTTATGCAAGAAAATAAAGGTGTTTTCTGAAAACAATTCAGGCTTAGAGTTTTAAAGTAAAAAATATCTTGTCTTGCAAAAACCTAATAACGATGCAAAATCCCAGCCACACGGATTTCGGATTCAAGAAACGATAAACCTGTATCCAGACATTCAAAAATGACAAATTCCGAACATTCATGAGTGGACATGAATTACATTAATTCTAGGGCCTGTGACATATTGCTGCTGACACTGATTTAAACCAATGCGTTGCTATCTTTTGTAAGCCTAAAATGTGCGTTTGTGTTGATTATTAACTGATATTGTGTGGTTAATTACTGATTTCACAATTCATTTTGAAGGTACGAATTTCTGGGTTAACCTTTGTGTTTCAAGTTGAAAATCACCTCGTAACACGCGGTCGCGGAAGTTTCCTAAACTGCATGGGTATTCTGGACCTGACAACAGTCAACTATGCTTGGTGAAGAGCTGACTAAATTGAGTGAGTGAGTATGGTTTTACGCCGCTTTTAGCAATATTCCAGCAATATCACGGCGGGGGACACCAGAAATGGGCTTCACACATTGTACCCATGTCGGGAATCGAACCCGGGTCTTCGGCGAGACGAGCGAACGCTTTAACCACTAGGCTACCCGACAGCCCCCTGACTAAAGTGAAGCACCATTGGTCAAACATATGTGAACTGTGGAATTTGAGCACAAAATGTCCGCTACGTCAGTGACTAGGGTGCACAAATTTCCTTCCCTCGCTTTCAACTCGTTACAAATGTTGTATTTCGTTACAATCGGTAAGGCTTAACCATATATACCAACGGGGAAAAGTAACTGTGATTCCTATAAAGTTCAATAAAAATAAATGTATTCTGAAATTAAATAATGTATCTTCAATGCATATTCTGGGCGGCAGGGTAGCCTAGTGGTTGAAGCGTTCCCTTGAAAGACCCGGGTTCGATTCCTGACATGGGTACAATGTGTGAAGCCACACTCACTCACTCAATGCATATTCATAAAGACATCTCCTCAACTTTAAGGTCGTGATTCACAATTTGCACGTACAGTTTGCGTGTTTGTTGGGAGCATGATACTCACACACATGTTGTTTTAATGTGAACGACAAACAGTTGTTGTTTAGCTGTCAGATGCTCATGAGAACAGTTTTGTTTAGCGATAAAAAATAATGCCACTGCTTGCTGAAAATCAACGTCCATGTGCCGTGGATATGCTTCAAACAGGAATGGCGCAAAACGTAGTTGCCAGACATTTAAATGTTCATCGTAACTCAATATCATCTCTTTGGAGACGATATCTACAGCGGGGCAATACCCATCACCTGCACTGGCCAGTCGGCCAGTCGTCCACTTGTGACCGCACAGCTCCCCTCTTCTTTACTTGTCCGGCGTCCGTCCCCATACAGGAAAGTCTGGCAGTCGTTTTGTCCATTGACTTTGCATTCCTTGTAATGACACACTTTTATCATGTATTGATTTGATATACAATGTTTGTTATGTCATATATGTTTGCGACCTTACTCATGTGTTGGAAATGTTTTTGTGATTTTGATGCATGTGTGTGTGTGTGTACTACTCCTGACTGATGTCGATTTTATAGTGCAAGCCCACTGAGATACCATGCCGTAGTTTAACATGAATACCCCACTCAGACACAGTATACTGACTCCGAGCAGACCAGTCCTTGTTTTAGACCCTTAATGTTGAGCGTCAGACAAGATAACAAGAACTACCATCTTTTAAAATATTTTGGTATGACGCGGCAGGGGGTCGAACCCCGGACCTTCCGCTCTCTGGTCGGACGCTCTACCACTAGACCAGGGAGACGGTCTTGTACACCACTATCCCCTGGATATATAGGGAATCTGTTGCATCAGTGACAAAAATTATGTCCGCTGCAGTTCCCTATTTTGACTTGTACAATATGTTCCCGTGTTTGTTTCAGGTGAACAATTGACTTGACTTTGCATGTGTTTGTGACGGGTGCAACCGGTGGGGCAGGATACGCTCAACTTTTCTTTTGGATTTGGAAAGGGTTTTGTTGCTTTATTTACTGTAGTCCTCGACACCTGAAACTATCGTGATGACTAGCAATTCCGGCGATATGTAAAATTACTTTCAGTAATGACACAAAATGCTTTTCAAGAAATATCCATTTTGCCAGGCGAAGCGATGAAGAACATCATTGAGTTATATTTTTAAATCTCCTCGTTACGACCCATCCAAGTGAACAAAACGAAGAAATACACATCCAAACTACCGTAGTATCGACTCGATCCGTGTCTGGGCGACAGCGATCTATAAATTTACTTTTGTGTGTATTTGACACATCTCCAATCACCTTTCGATGATAGAGTTGGGGCCAAACATTGTATGAATGTCGGAGCTTAGGCCGTCACTCTTTGAAGGTTCGTACTCAAATGAATTAACACAAAGTGAAAGTCAATTCTTAATTGACCATGCTGTTACAATGCCGGTAAGACCCGGCGGTCAGGTCAGACTTCGTACAGCAGCGTCGGAAGTTGAAAGACCGGAGTCGGTATCCAACTACAGTAAACTACGGTTATAACGAACACGGTTATAACGAACAAACGGATATAACGAACTAACTTTTTAGTCCCGACTATATGCTGTAGTTATGCTGTATATATGCTTATAACGAAGTACGGTTATAACGAACTAAAATTAGTGATCCCCTTGAGTTCGTTATAACCGTAGTTTACTGTATGTATATAGAAGCTTGTCACGTAACAGATGATTTTATCTGATTTTGATTTAAACATATTTTATTCAGATTGAAATGGATTGGGAACAAGTTATCCAACTTAGGACTCCCTCTCCATGGTATTTACAAAGCTTGTACAGTAAATCATATACAAGGAAAACAGAAAAGAAGATGAGTGTAAAGATAACAAGAAATGTACAAAAGAGAGAGACTAGTATATGTACATTAAAGTGTTACCCAAATCTCTTTGTATGACTTATAAACATTTGCACTGCTTTAAAGATGTGTTGATTTTCGATAATGGACAAACATTCATTTCCGTTTAACATCAAATTTAAATCTAATTTAGCATTTTTGTTCACGGCGTTCTGTAAAATGTCCCGAATTATTATTAACATAGTTTTTCTTTGGTGGACGTACAATGGACACTTTAATAAATAATGATATGCGTTTTCACATGGATCACCACATTGATTTTATCTGATGTATGTTTATCTATTTAAACTTGCGTCGTGGCCGCTTATACCTGTGTAGATGGGAAATACTCTCCGAGCATTGAGACTGGGTCAGCTGTGGATCAGAGCCGACAAGTTATTATCAGTGCTGTCCGTTTGTTGAGACTTCCTCAGGCTCTGCGAAACCAAGCTTTAATTGCTTATCTAATGCCTAATGGTTTTGCTTGGTGGTTATTGTCCAGTGTTAATAAATCCTCAAACTACCAGTTCGTTTATCTTCGCCAATATCCTTAAAACACTCGGCGTCTATATATTTATCTTCGACATTACGTGTATTTTACACACACACGCTATTTAAATAACTTTTGACCATTACTCGGTGGGCGAGGCGTTACTTTAGATAAGGTGGCTTAATCGTTAGTTTAGCACAATGTCACAGGCAGAATATCATTATCTGTCTGTACAGCAGAGGTGTATTAACACTCTACAATACGATCATTATTACATTCATACAGTGTGTGGGGGCACGGATGGCCCAGTCGTCTAAGGCGCCGCGATTCGCTGTGCAGAGTTGCGTCCCTTGGGCACGCCATAAACCTATGATTGTGGGTTCGAATCCCGGTTCGCCCCGATTATGTTTCTAGGTTTGTCAGCACCATACCCGTGCTCGTGGGTTTCACCGAAGTGGTAAAAGTGCATCACTTCGGGCTTTCCTCCCACATTAAGCTGACATGCCGTGATATAACTGTAATACTGTTAAAAGCGGCGTTAAACCCAACTCACTCACTCACTCATACAGTGTGTAACATGTAAAGATTGATCACCAATGTTTACATTTCACAATTAAGTTCTGTACATACCAATTTCTCGGTTAACATTTGCGTTTCAATTTGGGAATAACCTCGTAACGATACTTATGAAGAAAAAAGTGGATTTGAATTAACACTTAAGGATTTGTTTTTGGAAACCCCATTCGGACTCAGTCTGATCATGTTAATGTCATATATGAGTTCACGTCACTGTGCCCTTCATAATTCTAAGACAACTGCCTTAGTTGCTGCGATGTGATGTAGATATTCCAGTGAAGAGTAGTATTGACTGTTGTGTCAGATGTGACAGCGGCAACTGCCGTTGGTGATCCGCGTCCCACCGTGGTTGAGGAGGACACTATCCGCAGCATCAGGAACATACCACTAGCTACAGTATGTAACGTAGGATGAAGACCTCTAATCTGTAGACACATGACCATAGCGTGGTCCAATCACATCCTTTACTCTGCGTACCAGCAGTACGCCATCTCGCACAGGTAGAAGAACCTAATACAGAACACAATTACAGTGTTTGGATCTTTCAGTCTACGTTCATTTAAACCCTTTTAGTTGTATATTATGAGTTACATTATTGCATACGCAGACATGGCTCTGTCAAAACGTTTGATTTTTCTACTTTGTACATCCCTATACATGACAATCTAAAGGAAAAACTTCATTCCTTGATCCATGGGCTTTTATCTGTTTCAAAACTTGGTGAACACAGATAGTTTGTTTGTTTGTTGTTTTACGCCGCACTCAGCAATATTCGAGCTATATGACGGCGGTCTGTAAATAATCGAGTCTGGACCAGACAATCCAGTCATTGATATCATCAGCATCGATCCACGCAATTGGGATCGATGACATGCATCAACCAAGTCAGCGAGCCTGACCACCCGATCTCGTTAGTCGCCTTTTACGACAAGCATAGTCGCCTTTTACGTCAAGCATGGGTTGCTGAAGACCTATTCTTAGAGCTACGTATATATATTCAGAGGTTCATGACAACCTGTGAAAAATGAAAGCACATACCATCACAATATGTGAAATGTTGGACTTCGTCATTGATAACATCTACCTAAAATTTGTGGGAATAGACATTTAGGCAAGATCCCCATGGACACCAATTGTACTCCCCTTCTTGCGGATCTGTTTCTTTACGCGTATAAATCGGAATATCTGTTCGGATTGGCAAAGTCAAAACAAGGTAATTTGGCCAAAAAGTTTAACTTAAGCTTCAGGCATACCAATGGTCTGATATCGTTCAATAACAATGAAATAGCCAATTCCCCTCCACTGATTTACCCACCAGAACTAGACATAAAGGAGTCCAGTGAGACCGCCTCATCTGTTTCATGTTTAGATCTAAGCATTAAGATTCAGAGTGACAAAACACGCTCCACGAGAGAGTATGACATCAACTTTTAAAGGGTCAACTTATTGTCGAGCAATATTCCAGCAGCTCCAGCCTTTGGTGTTAACATTTCACAACTTCTGAGGTACAATCGTGCATGCTCTTTCTACCAAGATTTCAAAGAGCATCATACGACTCTTTACCAGAGGGTGTTGGATCAAGATGACAACATTTTAGGCCTCAGTAAAGCTTTCAACAATTCAATTCCCTATTTTGACTTAGACCATATGTTCCCCAGTTTTGTCGGGTGATAAACAATAAATGCATGCTCATGATATAGTCGGAATCGTACAATCGACTTTGATTGTGCAGAGTTTTCTGGAAAGGATTTTGTCACTTTATCTTCAGTTAAGTTCAAAATATTTTATGATAGCTTCTTTCGATTCATAATAAAAGTATGATTGTACGTATTATTTGCATAGAGATTATATGCATAGAACTATCTCCCGTGTGTATCATACCAAGTTCTAAAGTTATCAGTTCCCCGCAGATATCCGTAATAACAAAAAAAAATAGTAGTTCAGGATAGGAACGTGGGTAATTGAAAACATATTATTTACTATGTCAGCATGTTTCAAATTTCTTTACAAAAGTGTCTCAGCTTTGAATATATCATATAAAGTTCAAATTAAACAATCAAAGAAAGTTTGTGGTTTTCAATATTAGACACAGGTAGATGGTTCATCTTTCATTAACAAAATACAATTGCACTTGCAATTGGGACCAAAGATTGCTAACTGGAATCCACTGTGTGCTTTCTGAATCTGATTTTTCTCAATAAATACTTCTTAGAAATGAATATATTGGCTGAAGACATGTTCCCACTTTTTCACACACTAAGGGTTGAATTGACATTCAAATCCTGTTGATGTTGTCAATTTGTCATGTAAGGATGTGTTCAAGCCGACATTATGAGTTGAAAAGACTTTTGTTTGAAGCCATAACTTACCCTTCTTACCCTTGTGTCCTTCTCCACCCGCCTGTTCAGGGCATCAGCGGGGTTGTCAGTATCAAGATATGCTCCACCGTTTAGTAGAGCGTTGTCGAATGCGATCGTCCCATTATCCGTTAGAAGGCCATGATTCATGATGGTCTGACATAAACAACATATGCATGTCAACATTATGTATGAGGCTATATCATGGTATCATGTTGAACTGCTTCGTTTTTCCATTTCAAATACGGATAAAACCCCGACCAACCCAATACCCCAAGGCAAATTAGGGATGTGCCGACGTAGTGTTGGACGTAAAATAATGAAGAGTGTCTGAAAAGACATAATGTTAGGGATAAGATTCGGGTCTTCATCATTCACAGAATCGGCGTTAGCCCCATGACCCACATGCAATCATGTCCCAGGACTCATAGTGAGTGAGTGAGGTTTTACGCCGCTTTTAGCAATATTCCAGCAATATTACGGCGGGGGTCACCAGAAATGGTCTTCACACATTGTACCCATGTCGGGAATCGAACCCGGGTCTTCGGCGTGACGAGCTAACGCTTTAACCACTAGACTACCCGACCGCCCCCCAGGACTCATAGCAAGGCTGAAAGAGAAGTATGCCAGCTCACATACAACTCGCCTGTCAGAGGATACTTATAAGTATATCCGGGAAAATCTTTTGCCAGATAATGTAGTGACCTCAATGAAACTGAACATATGCGTGATGAATATGAACACTGTGTTCCCAAAGTCCTGCAACGCTTCACAAACTGGACAAGTTTGTTTCAGGTCTGCAAGAAGAGTTGCTGCTGCAATCAAGGTCCATTTTCAGAGCATGTCCAGACGATGGCTTTGAGTTGTCTGGTTCTACGAAGATTACAGTTGTTATTAGCATTCACTCATTCACATAACTGTCAAACCTGAACTTCATGACATTTGATTTTTTATCAATTCATGCAATCCCTTAGTATACAAATAAATTACCCCCTGGGGAATCTGGGTTCGAACAGGTCCCCAACAACCTGTGATGGTTGTAAGAGGCGACCCCGTGGGAAATCTAGATTTGAACAGGTCCTCAACAACCTGTGCTAGTTGTAAGAGGCGATCCTGTAGGGAATGTGCGTTTAAACAGGTCCTCAATAACCTGTGCTGGTTGTGAGAGGCGATCCTGTGGGGAATCTGGGTTCGAACAGGTCCTCAATAACCTGTGCTGGTTGTAAGAGGCGACCCGGTGGGGAATCTGGGTTCGAAAGGTCCCCGACAATCTGTGCTGGTTGTTTAGAGGCGACCAAATGGATCGGGGGTTCAGGCGCGATGACTTGGCTGATTGAGTGTCATCGTTTCCCGATGGTTGGGAATCCAGGTAGATTCTGGCCAATCAAATCCCTATGAATGAAAAGTAAAAGGTTTCACGACAAAGCAGCAAGGATCCAGTTTTACTCACATTGTAATACGTCACGTAGTTTTCTTTATCAGCGTCTACGAAGATGAAGTCAAATGTCTGTCCTTCCTCCGCCATACTCAACATCGTATCGTTGGCGTTACCTGGAACATGATTCATAATATTGATGCACTACTTTGACACCGTCTTTAAATTGTGTGCTTCTCAAACACAACCTTTGATATGAAATCTTTGTTCCCGCAACCTCGGACCACCTGAAAAATCTAAACATAGAGAGCTCTGATACCATGTAAGCATAATGTTTCGCCCCAAATCTTACGCTTCCATGATGAGAAAAATATCACAAGAATAAATGAACAACATTCTTTTCTGACCGACCGTTTCCATCTTCCCGAGGCAAGAGAGTTAACTGGCTATATAAATCCAGTTTCCACCCTTGCCGAACTAGGCTTGTATTATGGAGTGACATTTTGATTGGACTAACGAGTCTGTGCATAGTCCAATAAAAATCGCGCAATAAAATCGAAATCCGGTTCGTAAACTGTCACGCAGATTTCGGTCGGTTGCAGGATTTGCAAAGCATGTGTACCGCCAACGCGTTGTCATCAGATATTTTGCAAATCTTTCATGTTTGTAATCAAGGTGTTCACGTAATTTGATGCATTTCGCGATGGAAGACCCGTTTTATCAGAATATAGATCTTGATTATCGACCAGATCTTCTTGACTGGGCGCCGCCATTTTGTTTGAAGCAAATGCATGTGATACGAGAGGTGGAATCTGATTGTTCCATAGGAGAGGCATAGAATGGACATAAATCGTAATAGCCAGTCAGGCCCAGTCAGGACGATCTGATCGATAATCAAGATTTATATTAAAACGGGTCTAAGATCGCGAAATGCATCAAATCACATTAGCACCTTGATTAATAACATGAAAAGATTTTGAAAATTATCTACTGACAACGAGTTGGCGGTGCACATGCTTTGCAAATCCTGCAATCGACCGAACTCTGCACGACAGTTTACGAACCGGATTTCGATTTCGGTTCGCGATTTTGATTGGACTATGCATAGACTCGTTAGTCCAGCTAAAACTTCATAATACCAGCATCGTTCGGCAAGGGTGAAACTGGACTTTTATAGTCAGTTAACTCTCTTGCCTCGGGAAGATGACCGTTTCATTTATTGATATGTTCTACCAACAGGTAGAACGAATTGATACCACATAATGACTCGGCTGGGAAGCAGAATCCTTGTTTGGTTGACTCTAAAGAAGCTGCCCATGTAATGTCGAAAGTCAGTATGTAATTTAGAATTGATATGCATGAAGCAATATCTTTTTATCTTTGTATATTTACACCTTTGAACCATACAATTACCACATACATGTTTTAATACCCTCAAAAGAAGAAGAAATATAAGATGATTGCAATCAATTGGATTTTCAATATGTCCTGTTGAAAGTCCCTCCTTTACTCAATCATTTATATATTTATCCATGTGCAATTTAACTTACTGAAATGAAGAATTGAAGAGCCATGGTGGTTCAGTGCTTCAGAAGACGTTTATGTATAACAGTCTAATGACTACTGTTCGTTTTAAAGGAGATTCGGAGCCCCTTGACAATAATTGTTTAACTCATAATTGTTTTATCAAATGGTAAGACGGAAGCGCAGGTCGTTATACTTTATTGACTGTGAAAGGTGTTTTTGTGTTGAATCTTAGTCTTGGCAAATGGTGTACATGTATTTGGCATTGATTATTAAATATTGTAATTAATACACATTGTGTTAATGTAGGAAGGTGTTTCTACACATATGGGAAAAAAATAAATAAATAATTAGCATGTGTTTAGGAATTTCTAAAAACAGTGATGATACCAGGTGTTCGCTAGAAGATGCGCGTTACCTTCGCCATCCGTGGAGATTTGTTGCATAATACACCGGCAAACCAATGCTCTGTGACGTCGACAAACTTTAAGCTAAAGTCGAATAACGCTCTTTGAAAACTTTGTTGAAAGAGCATGCCTGATTGTACCTCAAAATGTTTTTTGGAGTGTAGACAGCAAAGGAATTCCACAAATTCTGAGAGGATGAATAATATTCAGAAACAAACCCACCTATTTTAATTTCAATCTTATTTCCGTGAGGAGATTCGTCGAACTTCTTCCGATTGATTTTTTCCAGGTACTGCTCAATGTCGCAAGTGATCACCACGCCATCTGGTGGCACAGCTTCCGCCATGGCCAAGGCACTGTATCCGGTAAACATGCCAATGTCAAGGACACGCTTCGCTTGTTGCATGCTCACCAAAAATTTGAGGAATTCACCTTGAATTGAATAGTTATTTGTCTGTCAAGTCTTCACATTATACTCACTATAGATATTAATAAAAACCTGCTACAGAAGATATAACGCACCCACCACGTCAGTCCATGATCAAGGCCAGAATGAATACAAGTACATTTAATATTAACATGATTATTTTCATGACTAGGGATGAATGAAGTGCACGGCCCACCAGCTGCACCCGTCACAAAATACTCAGACGAGAGAATAATGATATTAAATCTACATTAACAGGTATTGACATCAGGTAATAATACCTTCAATAAAGTTACAAAAAGTTACAAGAAGATCACGACAATGTAAAAAGGTCTGACACGTTATCAACTTTTCTGTCAGATTCGGCAAAGGAATAGAATAAAGAGAATATGGAGAGAGAACGCCCAAGATCTCTCCCGATGGTAAATGATTGTAAACTGCAATGGTGATATAAATTAAAAATAAATAGGTCGTGTGAAGTCATTCTATTGTTCTAACCATGTATCATATCCGAAGAACAATTTCTGCAAAACACCTGTAAACCCAATCAACATAAACTATTCGATTGCCATCGCGCTTCTCCCAGTAATTCGTTGTACCCACGACATCTCAAAACGCAGGTGTAACCGCCTGTAGTTGTCTGTCTGCGCGTTGGCTCCTGTCAGTGTTGAAATATTTATGTCACCATAATTTTGAGTCACCACATAAGCAGTTGGGTGTGTTTAGCAGATCGATTGGACTCTAGAACATGTCAGAAATTACAATTATCGTTTTGGAAGTAACGGTAACTCGATTACCGACGAGCTAAACTATAAACAAGGGAAACTATGGAAGTAATAACAAACTGGTAAGTTATGGCCGAAACCAGTTCCAGTCTGTCCAAATCTGTGCGCTGAGGATCGGATTCCTATAAAAAAATGGGTGTATCAAAGTTTGTGTTGGCTTTCTGTGAGTAGGAGACAGATGAAACATTAACTGTAAAATCAGAGATGCTTCCCACACAGACAGTTGCCCCCATCTTCCCAAGGCAAGAGAGTTAGGAACTAGGCTGGAAATACTGGGCTCGATCGTAGCGCCACCAGTGGCTATTACCAGCTATGTCCCCTCTAAGCCTCTCCTATGGACCAGGGCGGTCGGGTAGCCTAGTGGTTAAAGCGTTCGCTCGTCACGCCGAAGACCCGGGTTCGATTCCCGACATGGGTACAATGTGTGAAGCCCATTTCTGGTGTCCCCCGCCGTGATATTGCTGGAATATTGCTAAAAGCGGCGTAAAACCATACTCACTCACTCTCCTATGGACCACCTCTCGTATCACTTCAAACAAAATGGTGGCGCCCAGTCAGGACGATCTAATCGATAATCAAGATTTATATTGTGATAAAACGGGTCTAACATCGCGAAATGCATCAAATCACATTAGCACCTTGATTAATAACATGAAAAGATTTTGAAAATTATCTGCTGACAACGAGTTGGCGGTGCACATGCTTTGCAAATCCCGCAATCGACCGAACTCTGCACGACAGTTTACGAACCGGATTTTGATTTCGGTTCGCGATTTTGATTGGACTATGCATAGACTCGTTAGTCCAGCTAAAACTCCATAATACCAGCATCGTTCGGTAAGGGTGAAACTGGACTTTTAAAGTCAGTTAACTCTCTTGCCTCGGGAAGATGAGTTACCCCTGACCTGTCGTACCTCTTCACCCTCTCTAAAATAGTCCAATCGGTCATAGTCGACGCAATACACTCTGCACAGTCGGATCGCTTTGGTGCGCCAGGACCCGTGAACGTCGATTTGAATCAGGGATTTGTCGTGTTATCCTTGGGTTTGCATCATCATAAAAGTTCTCGTGTGGTTGTCATAGTGGAAGTTCTTCACACAATAAGCTGACACGCGGCGACATACAAGTAGCCTAAGTTCAATCAACTCACTCACTCAAACCGTCTATGACATACTGACCTTCAGATTTGCCTGTCAGCATGCCAATCCCCTTTTGCTTTTCCAGGTGATGTCTCGCTTTGGCTGTGGACCAATCAGATGCCTCTGTAAACAAGCGGATCTCCTCAAGGGTAGCACTGTCAGGGGAACAATGGGTGTCCAGATATTCATTCCGGGTTTTCATGATAGCTATTGTCATCTTGATTCCTCCAATGATGGCTTCAAGCGACCTTTCGCCCGCCGGCAGATCAAGAATATCTCGCAACTTCCGGTAAACTGGGTCCCGGAACATTGGACCATATTTGTCAGAAAGATTCGGAGAACCGTTGACGTCAGTAGCCATTATTTGTTTCAAAGAAATCTGGAAAAAGAAGAATTAATATCATTATTATCAATGTTTTTCTTCAGGTCGAAAATAGTTCATACTCGTATTTGTTATTATTCTTGTACAGGGCGTTAATTTAGCAGCCAATCATAATCAGATTTATAATATTTGTTAACACTGTTTTATGTAAAAGTATTTTTTGTGGCGGTGTTTGTGTAATAATTATCAGCGGCAGCAGGTGATTTGATTTATTGGTAAACATGTTTCTGTGGCCAGATTTGAACAACTGACAACAGCATTGGGTGGAGTTCTCTAGCACAGTTTGGTACTGGTATTTCAGTTTCAGAAGGTTGGCTGTTCGTATATCAGACCGACTGACTGAGTATGGTTTTACACCGTATTTAGCAATATTCCAGCAATATCACATCAGAAATTGACTTCACATATTGTTAGCATGAGGGGAATTGAACCTGGGACTTACATAAAAGCGACAAGTGAGCGATTCAGGACCAGTCGACCTAAACGGTTTCTAGTCTACTTGATAGGAGCGGTTTGGAAACTGTTGCCACCATAACTGCGTAAGTATGTTTAAAAGGAATTGTTATTTTACTATTTGTGAGCGATATCAGATTATCGATATAACTGATCATGAAGCTTGAGTTAAACGTGTTGACCAAATCTTCCCCACCCCGTATGCGAAGTCTATCAATATAAATATCACATGTATCTGCGACGTTATAGTTTAAATGTATTAAAAGCCGGTCAATGTAAATAGAAATCTGTAGATTAAGTGTATTAGTTTTCAATTATTTTAAATCGTACATTGTAAAAATGTTTGATTTGATATTTACACTGTATGAATATATTATTGATCGTATTGTTTAGTTTTGGTGCACCTCCCACACTACAGTAAAAACATAAAAAATACTCTGTCAGTGTAGATGAGATACATGTACATGTAACACATTGTAATCCAAAAATTTCTAAAAACGACCCATAATGTATTTATTTATTTATTCTGCTTGCCTCTATTGAGGGTCATAATGCAGGGTTGTGATCAGGGCCATTTGTTCATTCTCGTTTCATATGTCTAGCAGCAAACATAATCTAGAATTGACACCTTAAATATTTATCGTAAAACAGTATACATTTTTAAGTAATATTTTAAGAACAATTTGCTATACATAACTCAGCGTGCATTTTTTGGATGACACAAAGACACCAAATAATGTAAATATTCAAACATAGTGTAGATTGAACTTACTGTGCAAAGATGCAAGCAATGTATCTTGGTGTTAAATGATTTAATGTTTAAGGTCTAGGTAGATATAACTAAGTATTGTTCGTTCCTCTATGGACAAATTGGAAGAAATGACTGACATGACTGTAAACATCATACGTATATGTATATAAATGAGTGGATCAATACTGACCCACTATACTTGTGTGGTTTTGAATTAACTAGATGAGACGATGTAAGAAATTGTAGAAATGAAGAATCTCAAATAGATCAATAACAGAGGAAGGTATTGTTAGAGTGATTTTAAAAGTTACTTACAAATGCTGAAAACGCTGTGGCACAATAAGGCTGTGGCTTGAATAAAATACAAGCTCTGATGTTTGACAATAAACATGCAGTCAGGGTCGGCTGACCTACCACGATCTGTATAATCCTTTAAATGTCGCACTTGAATATGCCTACACGCTGAACATTTATGCTTCACACACGTTGGGCCACCATGGACCATTTACAGCAATGGTATCCAGCAAGGACTCACCCACAACACTGAACAATAAGCTTAAGGCTGTTCTTTGTTTTGATATAATTACACGTGATCATCTCATTGTGAAGATATATTATACGAGACTGATATCTGTAAGCACACACTGACGAAGTAGCAGCTTGTAGTGGTGCGAATGAGCGACGGTGAATTAAAATATTTCAGCGTATTGTTCGCAAAAATAAGTTATTCGTAGATGTTAGTATAGTAAAAGGCAATTAAATGCGATTGTGTTGTGACACGTCACTGTGTTTGCTTTCATAACAAATTCAGCGGTCTCTATATTTAGTTCGCAAGTATAATACAGATCTCCATATATTATATTCATGATCATAAACATTTTGCTCTCGTTATACAAATCTCAAGGTAATTGCTGAATTTTCATAATGGTGAATTTAAGATCACGAGTAGCTATCTAAAAAACAGTTTTCTGGCACATCTGTTCAAGGGAGACTGTTAAAAACTAATAATTTGATCTGGGATCTTCCCTTTTCCAACTCGTAAACATATACGTTTGAAAAAGTGAGAGCACAAAGACTTGTGTTGCAGAAGTCTGAGAAACGTGGCATCATAACGGTTCAGAGCAGTACTACTAAACCAAATATTATGTCGAAAGATCATAAAAACATATATCACCGCGTGTGCTTACGACCTTACGTTTTGTGTGGTGAATGAGAGTAGCGCCCCTTGAAGTGTACAGTTGGCAAAATTTCATCCTCGTGTCAATCTCGTGAAAATCTCGTATCGTGAATCCGAAAACAAATAAATGCTGTATCTTAACGGTAATTGCAACCAACTTCATAACAGATAAACCATCTATGGACTCTAACTCTCACCTACTCTGAACAGAGTTCGAAGCTAAATTCACCGTTGAATGAAGACGTTTCTAACTTGTTGATGTTAGTATGTACTGATGTATTGTATTGTTTCTCTCGATGTGCATATGTTACCTGAGTAATACATAAGTTACTATTCGTCCCCGTCAGATACCTTCTTTACTAAAACGAGCGTATTTTAAAAACCCGCATCTGACGAGGGGACTCAATTAGTAATCGATATTGCTGAACATATTAATGAGTAGTTTCCATTGATGAACATGCCTGGAAATAGGTACCATTTTTTCTGTTCTATTAAGTATCCGATATGGTAATGTGTACCCTTTGGAATGTTGATAGGTGCAGGTGTTAAGAGTAGGGGTAAATGGGGACCTATTCCGCCTTCCGTGGAATCATCATCATCATCATCATCAAATGGAATGTTACCCTTTTATGAAGAAATGTATAAAGAAGAAATGACTTAACAGTTGGAATAAATGTGGACCTATCCCGCCTGCTGTGGAAGGCGCACTATAAATATTCATGACCCTGGTGTTATGCAAATAGACATGCATGACGTCACAATGAGAACTGAGTCATTATGCATGAATATTATGAAACGAACTGACGGATATAACGAACCTACTTTTTGTCCCGACTATTTGCTGTCGTTATGCTGTATATATGCTTATAACGAACTACGGTTATAACGAACTAAATTAAGTGGTCCCTTTGAGTTCGTTATAACCGTAGTTTACTGTATATACATCGAGTACTAACAGGGGTCGGAACGTGATACATTAACAATAGCTTCAATTTCAGTCACATTTAGGAACAATAGATGGCGGCCAAAACGTGATGTTCGAACTCACATCAAAAGCCAATAGAACAATAGACAACATTGTTCAAAGACAATAGAGGCGCTACCCGTGGGATGTTTGATTGACAACGAAAAGATATTACTATAGGTTTTATACCCTTTCTTATCTATAACATCATAATTATTCCTCGTTGTGTGTTGATAATTATATTTGATTCTATTTCATATTTATTTGATTGAAAGATATGCATGCATATGTGATTATTTGACTGACAAAGAGATCAAGGAGATCAAAGAGATCAAAGTGATCAAAGACAATGGGAGGGTAGGTACTTCCACGATATCTACTACTGATATAGATATAGTTCGATGGATGTTGGCGAATGGTGGGAGGATGGATTACGTATGTAAGCATGCGCATGGATCCATGATGGCTGACGTAGACATAATGAGATGGCTGTAGGGATAAAGGGAAATGATGAATGCAATGTGTGTGTGTGTGCGTGCGTTGTGATACGAGGGCTGGCGAACATGAAGTGATTTGATTGTGTAAGTAGGTTAAGTAGGAGGTGACAGGTATGAGTATTGATACATGCAGACTTGGGGTTGGGGGACTGGGTGTGTCTGTACTGATGTCTTTTGTTTCATTTAATTACATTTGATACTATTTCATATTTATTTGATTGAAAGATATGCATGCATATGTGATTGTTTGACTGACAAAGAGATCAAAGAGATCAAAGGGATCAAAGACAATGGGAGGGTAGGATGTACATTGAATATCAGCAAACAGAGAGTATTATAACGCAATAGATTACATCCGTCAAAACATCACAGGAAGAAGGGCAGCCTGGAATTTTACAATGGCATCAGAATGCACTAAGACGTTCAGCTGGTCAGGAGGTGAGAGTTGCGGAAAATTGCGATAAACTTCAGTTATAGATCTCCATTACGAATATCTAAAGTGTGAATAAAGATCACAGCTTGCTATAAAGTGTACTTCATCCCTGCAGATTTAGCAACTTCCTTAGCTATAGAATTTATGATTAAATGCTCATATAGACAAAGACCCAAATGTTTATAGGCATGACCATATTATAATCCACGCAAATATCTCCACATTTAAAAACAAAGCTAGATTGAGGCTTTGAAGGCATTAAGAAGTGATACCCACAAGGAATAAATGTATGGATGTCAACGTCTTTATTATGAAGAACACAACGTTTTGGAGTACAGTAAACTACGGTTATAACGAGCACGCTTATAACGAACTGACCGATATAACGAACTTATTTTTAGTCACGGCCATTTGTTGTGCATATGCTGCATGTATGCTTATAACGAACTACGGTTATAACGAACTAAAATTAGTGGTCCCTTTGAGTTCGTTATAACCGTAGCGCATGCAGAGAACGGAAAATGTGGTTAAGGCATTAAGCAATCCGTATGCGCAGAACGATTGATTTCAGTACTTCCGCTAAGCGCTTCGAGTACAGCGTCAAACTCGCTCCAAACTCCTGTAATCTAACACGCGAGAACTGACCAATGAAATCTGAGAATTAGGAATACCGGTAGACGCTGTTGCTTGATAGACAATGTCAATCAAGAAAGGGAGGAGCTTGATGATATCGTTCTCTCCCAGTAAATTCGGATGTCAAATAACGACGTTATTTGGACGGAAATACGATGGTTTGAAAGCGTCCAAATAACGTCGTTTTTCCGTCCAATGACCATATACGGAAAAGAACGATGTTTTCTTGTTTGCAGTGATATGTCATTGATGTTTAATGTGAATAAATAAAAGTGGCAATACTATTTCCATAATCATAAGGCATCTCTGCTCAAAGTCGAGTCCATTAACCATTCCGACCTTATCATAGGCATATGTTTATGAATCACTATCAAATAGTGACGATACCAGGTGATCACGAAAAGGTGAGAGAATTCTGCCCAAAGCGACGGTACCTGTCACAAACACATGCAATGGCAATAGTTCACCTGAGGATAACGCGGAACACATAGTACAAATCAAAACATGAAATATCTTTTCACCGATCACTCAAATTGGAATTCAAATCCTCCACATATTTACCTCAAGGCCTTCATTCTTACCAAGGCCTTTATCCTTTTGACCCTGATCAAACAACTTTTGAGCAAGAGTCCTATGATGCTCTTTGAAAACAATCTAAACATAATTTGCACCAAATCGTTGGTGAAAAGGGACAACCTGTATAATCTAGCATCACACCCAGTTACGTAATTAGTGACCATTTGCTGAAATTTACCAAAGTCATGCAAATCTGAGGACACTTATTTGGGAAATAAGGAAACAGAGCATTCTCGCTGTGTGAAAGAGTGGCTCCAAGAGTGGCTACTCCACAAGGAGAAGAGACCCGTGAAGATTCCGGGGTAGAATAGGTCTTCAGCAACCAAAGCTTGCCGCAAAAGGCGACTATGCTTGTCGTAAAAGGCGACTAACGGGATCGGGTGGTCAGGCTCGCTGACTTGGTTGATGCATGTCATCGATCCCAATGGCGTGGCTCGATGCTCATGATGTCAATCACTGGATTATCTGGTCCAGACTCGATAATTTACAGACCACCGTCATATAACTGTAATATTGCTGGGTGCAGCGTTCAACAACAAACAAACCAACCAACCATCCAACATCCTGAAGATGTGACATGCCTGTGACAGTACATTTTCTGAACCAAACATCGTTCAAAACTTCAGACTCGATTATTTTACATGCCGCCGTCATATAGCTTGAATATTGCTGAGTGCGACGTTAAACAACAAACAAACAATAACATTTGGACAGCAATACTCACAGTCTGTCGGGGTCACGGGTGGCCCAGTCGTCTAAAGCGCCGCGATTCGCTGTGCAGATCATTGATTATATGAATTCAATTACGAGTTACCGGTCGTCGTATTATCACATTCTCTTCATAAGCCCCGTCATACCAATCTTTAACTGTTGTGCGTGTGGGTGACTGGTGCAGTTGGTAAAACATACAAATGTTCTGTACAGTATTCAAATATCAAGTTGTGTGCAAGCCCTAGACTGACATTTAGTCTCTGAAATCATATATTACACAATATCCTACTTGACACTAAAAATTAAAAAAAATCCCTTTAGAGCTAGCTTGAGCTGGCTAGACTTGCTTTTGTATGCATTTCTAGATTATTATTCTATAAAATAAATATATTCCACGGTCATGGTGCAGGACTATGCAAGTCCATGCGCAACTACATGCATTATGATAGTTGTTTACGCCAGGGCCTTTATGCATTGTGAACTTCATTTCAGTGCAACATTTCAGAATTCGGCTATTACTAACAATGGATTGCAACGACAGATCATGTTTGAAAAGAACTTGGTATCAAACAAACCGTGACATTAACATTACGAGGCCGTGAGAAACACCTGGTTGTATTCGCCAACTGAAATACAACAGTGTCTAACTGTATTTCTACACAATATGATATGCCACAAGCTGACCTCTGGAATACGCGATTAATACAAGTTACGCTCTGCATTCAGCATTGCTGATGTGAATGTGATGATTGTTCAAGTACATAAGGGAATATATCTTCCGCATATGCACATTGAAGTTTTCACTCCGATCATTACGTATTGTGTAGGTTGATGTCTGGTGTAGTTGTTAGGCTGTCAGGAATGTTATTCTCTAACCCTCTACGCCGCCGAGGCTTCCTTAAAAAATGAAAATCCGACAACTGGTAGTTTAGAGTCGCGTCGCAAGCCACGAATCGCTTACAAAAAGCAAATTATTCGTTTCAACAGTACGAAGCGCATGCGCACTCTTCCAAAATGGCGGTGCAACTAACGCTTGGTTGTCTTGACGTAAAAGAACGTAATACAAGAGGAACGATCTATCAATTTCTTGTTCCGCTGTCAAAGTCAGCCGCCATTTTGGCCAGCGATTGTTTCGCAAGCGGCAGCGCACTGTTGTGAGGCGAATCGCTGTACATCGTTAGCAAGCGATTCGCGCTTTGCAAAGAACCCCTATATCACGTACTTTGTGTACCCCTCTGACAAGTGTAAATTGGAACGGCTCCCATGACCGAACGCTATGAATACACAATGCCATTTAGAAAGTGGTCAAATGTAACAAATGTTATATTTACACAATGCCATTTAGATATTGCATAGATAAACGGATACTGGTTTTCAAAAATGAACTTACCCCCTAAGAAATCAGAGTTCGACAATCCAGCTCTTGTTGCACAATGTCACTTGGATGTAGAGTAAACTTGAATTGATGATGGCGGATGCAAAATATGACGTGATAGTGTGATGTCATTCCAATGTCATTTCACGAGACAAGGCATTTGGTCACAACATTTTAAAATTGTTTTCGAAACGTTTGTGGTATATCAGATTTTACAAACGTTTAAAGAACATGTCAAAAACATTTATTTTTTTGGTAATTTTCAAAAACGTTTTATGACATTTTCATAACTAGTCATGAAAAATAATAAAATGTGAGAGAATGTGTCTTTTACCATAGATCTATATTTATTCACTTCTCAACGGTCTCTCGCACGCCCCCGCAAAATATGCCCGAGAAAATGTAGTTTCCTGTGACACTACCTGTGATTAGCAACAAATAAATCATGTAAAATTTTGTCTTACTCACATCTGCTATATGTTCTTTTGACATTAAAGTCTACAGATTAAAGTGTAACTGTTGTGAATTAATGCATTACCAATCCCCAGCATTATGAAAACGGAGTGCGCTAGCTGGGAAACTTGCGTTCAACTATAGGCTATTCGGGTCGTTATCGGTACTCACATGGCGATAACATTTCATGAAAATATGTTCTGGCATAATGTTTCTGCAATGTGTTGAAAAAAGTGCAATGACATTTTCTGAAACAGTATCGCCTATGTTTAGCATGATGTTCTTGAATAACGTTTTAAAAACATTTCAATAACATTTCATGAAATAATTTCTGGCATAACATTTCTGCAACGTGTTGAAAACATTGTAATAACATTTTATGTAATAGTTTCGCTTATGTTATGACATGATGTTCTTGAAAAAAAAACATTTTAAAAACATTTCAATAACATCTGAATAATTATAAAGCATTTGCCCCTTATTCGGATGACTTTACATATGTGTACACACTGTATTTAAACACACGCTGATACCATTTCATTAAATATGTTCTGACAAAACATATCTGCAACGTGTTGAAATCATTGTAATAACATGTTATGAAGTAGTTTCGCCTGTGTTATAGCATGATGGTCTTGAATAACATTTTAAAAACATTTCAATAACATGTTGAATCCTTTTGAAAAATGTTTTGAATTGCTATGAGTTACCTGGAAGGGATATGAAAAACGAACAGCATCAAGTGTTGTCACCTTGGAAAGCCAAATATTGTGAGCTATTCAACAATGACAAAAATTAAGCATTTTACGACGGATTTCACCAAAACGTTCTGGAAACTGTGTCCTCTGGATCTATTTCCTCTGATGTAAGTGATCTTTATAAACCATTATCTGCTACTGAGGCGGAGAAGGCAGTCATGCAGATGAAGAAAGGAAAGGCGTCAGGTCTGTGCCAAATACCTGTTGAAGTGATACAGGATCCTCATTGTATTAACTTACTGTGTGAAATATTTCAGCTTTGTTTAACATATTCTGTCCCACCATCTATCTGGCGGCATGGCCTGATCAAACCTATCACTAAAGACGGTGGTGACCCCAGGGATCCACTCGGATACAGAGGACACACTATGACATCTATCATTTGTAGGATATACAGCAACATATTGAATCGGGTGCGTAGAAAAACATGAGCTTCTGTCGGCGAAACCGCATTATCAGTGGTTCATATTGGGAAAGGGAGGTCACTCTAATTTCAAACGGGAGCTATCTCCGTTGTTTTCGTATTTGCGAGAAATGGCGTCACCCACGCTGCACGCTGTTGGTCCAGCTATTAAATGCCCAGCTTATCCCTAAGGTAAAACGTGAGGTAATTAAATGTTTGAATGCATTATATATTTATGTTTCCATCAGTACATCTTCTAAGATTGGTTTAGTGGTGATAACCATTTTCTAAAATGTGGGCCCACATTTTTCCCGTCATCTATGGTGATCGAAACAAGTGGGCCCACATTTGTATTTCGCCTAGCTTCGTAAGGTTGTTTCGTTAGTTCTGATAATCAATCCCTAAATGTGGGCAGACGTTCTTCCGTCATATTGATTGCAACAGTAGGGACCACATTTATTAATCGCGAAATTCTACTTAAATATTGATAATCATTTTCTCAAATGTGGGCCCACATTGTTCCCGTCATATATGGTGATCGAAACAAGTGGGCCCACATTTGTATATCGCCTAGTGGGTAGACGTTCTTCCGTCATAGTGATTGCAAAAGGAGGGACCACATTAAAAAATCGCTAGCTTCATTAGCTTTGCTTACTTATAACCATTTTCTAAAATGTGGGCCCACATTGTTCCCCTCTTATAGTGATCGAAACAGGTGGGCCTATATTTTTAAATCGCTGGGTTTCTTAAGGTTGACGAAGTCATTTAGGCTATTGGGCTCACGTTTGTCATTATGTAACATTTTATATTATTCATATTTTGTAATATTGATGGGAAATATCTTTATAAATCATTTCGTGTGACATTAATTCCATAAAAGGCACAAAAGTCTTTGAAGTTTGAATAACTGCGTCATAGCTGACCACACTAGTTTTACAAAAATAGCTACCAAGCAAGAAACATAAATCTACTTCAAATTAAAATTACAGAGGCAATACCACTCATTCTACCTTTTCCAGTATAACACATCAATCTAATCATAAGTATTGGTGGCGATATAAGCCTGAACATATGTCTACACTTGAATTGATCTCGGACATGATACAAGCCTCAGACGTTTCCGAGAACTTGTTCCATAAAAGGAATAACTCATGAATATTAATAACCCCACGACCTAGTTTGGCGATGTTCGTAGAAGTGAGTTCTGCTGTATTGTCATCTTATTTGTACATTTTAATCCAATTATAAGTCATAATACTTATTTTAAATAGACAAATTATGAGTTCGTTATGCGGGTTTGTTTACGTAGTATATATTCTCAACAACAAGTGCGTTTAGTTTCGAATGTGGGCCCACCTCGAACATTCGATTAGGCAAACGGAGTTAGCTCCCTTCTCGAACCACCGATAATGCGGTTTCGCCCTTCTGTCTGACGTATGTAATGGTTTCCGACCCAAATGAAACTGTATGGAGCATTCATATCCACTCTATTCATCGACATAAAGGGGTGAACATTTTATGCAATCCAAAGTACAGTATATGCACATATATACACAACTCTGTGAATATCAATCAGCATTACACAGGTGTGTATAATGACATCAAAACAAGGGAGTTTGGTCAAGACGTTTAACTTCAAGTACTTCAAGTAAGTAATCCACTCGTCTCAAATACTTTCTACAAGTATGAAAACATTACTACGCGATTGTATTAAGGATTATGGTCAATCTTTGAGACAGGGATTTGGTGGTACATTTCATGGACACTCTTTGATCATGTATTTATGCAGCTTTGGAATTCAGTAGAAGAGAGGAATGGACTTAAGGTCTTAAAGTCAGATGTAACTCAAACGTAGAACTTACTATCAGTTATAACAAATTAACTTGTTGGCTGTCAATGTTTATAAAAGACACAATCGATCATAACACTATTTGGTTACAGTATGCACAACAGTATATATATCTGAAATTTCGGTGAATAGTCACATCTGTGTCATTACTAGGAGTATATATCGGCAAGTTCCACATCAACATTCATCATGCATTTCAATGAAATGTGTCGATTTCTGCAAACATTTGGATGGTAATTAAGTGAGAGAGGAAAGCCCGAAGTGATGCAGGTCTTAGACGTTTACCACTTCGGTGAAACCCACGAGCACGGTTATGGTGCAAAAAATAGAAACCTAGAAACATAATCGGGACGAACCGTAATTCGAAACCACAATCACAGGTTTCTGGCGTGTCCAAGGGACTAAACTATGCA